AGACGCCATTTTTGTCATGGAAAACTCAGACTTCTACAGGAGCTGCTTTGAACCTGACAAAAGTGGTACTGCAGCCTCTCCCACTCTCCCTGACTCAGGTTGCCAGATATGCAGACGAATCCAGCTGGGACCATAACAGCTGAATAGACAAGAGTTTTATCAACAACAAATCTAGGATCTTAACAGGTACCAAAAGGAGGGAGCACATAACTCCGGTGTTAAAATCACTCCACTGGCTCCTGTGGAGTACAGAATAAAGTTTAAAATCCTTCTCTTAACATATAAAGCCATAAATGGCTTGGCTCCTTCTTATCTCCAAGACACGTTAGTGTCGTATCAACCAAGTCGAGCGTTGCGCTCACAAAACGCCAGACGTCTGGTGGTCCCTAAGGTCTCAAAGGTCACTGTTGGTGGCAGAGCATTTAGCTCCAAGCTCCTTTACTGTGGAATCAGCTTCATTTATGTTAAGGAAGCAGATACGGTCTCCACATTCAAGGCCAGGCTTAAAGCACTTTACTTTAATTTAGCATATAGTTAGGTAATATATAATATATGGTGTATATATTATATATATATGCTGTATTATGTTATATATTATGTTATATATTAGACAATATATGTATTATGTTGTGTATTGTGTTATGTTGTATATTATGTTATATATTATGCTGTATGTTATGTTGTGTATTATATATGATATATATGGTATGTATGGTATATATGATGTATATGATATATAATTAGGTTTGCCTGGATCGGTTTGGCACACCTGGTGTGCAATCCATGAATCTTGGTGCTGTAACCTAGGCTAGGGATCTCTGAGCCTGGCCTCCTCCATCTACACCTGCGGACTGCCCCGCCCGACCCGCCTGGGAGTGCTTCAGTCCTGCACCGGACCTGTCCACGTTCAGCGGCCACTGGTCCACGTTCTGTAGCTAGCTTAGGTCCTGGATCATTAGCCTGTCCGTCCGGAGGAGCGGATCCCTTTCTCATATGGGTCTCCCTCCCTGTGGGTTTCCCTATACAATACAATACAGTGTATTGTTGTATAGCCCTAGGTCACAACAGAAGTCATCTCAGAGACTTAACAAAACCATTGAAATCACCAACACAGGTCAGAGAATCAACAGTTAAAACACATGAAGAATATAAAGCACACACAGAAGAAAATGTCCATACATGTTGTAGAATGCTAAAGTGTCCTGATCATCACCAATCCTTTCTGTTGGACACTAACTGTCCAACAAGACCCTCCTGCATCGACAAGGAAAAACTCTTAAAAAACCCAGTGGGAAAAAGTGAGAAACCTTGGAGGAGAACTAGGGAAACCCACAGTGAGGGAGATGTCATGGGGTGAAGTGATGGAGGACTCAAAATGCAGGAATGAGAAAAACAAAAATGGTTTAATGATAAAAATCAAATAAAAGTCCAAGATGAAAACATAATCAAAACAAGAACCAGGAACACAGACTGACAAGGACAGACAATACAATGAACCAGCAACAAGAGGAAAGGAGCACTGGGTACACATAGACACAGACACAGGTGAAACACATCAGGGCGGGGCAGACAATCAACACAGGGGAACAAGACAGGAAGTACAACTAAAACCAAACTTATGTAAAAATAAAACCAAATCCACACCATGACAGGAGACCCATTTGAGAAAGGGATCCGCTCCTCCGGACGGACAGGCTAATGATCCAGGACCTAAGCTAGCTACAGAACGTGGACCAGTGGACGCTGAACGTGGACAGGTCCGGTGCAGGACTGAAGCACTCCCAGGCGGGTCAGGCGGGGCAGTCCGCAGGTGTAGATGGAAGAGGCCAGGCTCAGAGATCCCTAGCCCAGGATACAGCACCAAGATTCATGGATTGCACACCAGGTGTGCCAAACCGATCCAGGCAAACCTAATTATATATTATATATCATATATATCACATGTACCATACATATTATATATATTATATATAATGCATAACATAACATACAGCATAATATATAACATAATATATAACATAATATATAACATAATACAGCATATATATATAATATATACAACATCTATTATATATTACCTAATTATATGCTAAATTAAAGTAGAGAGCTTTAAGCCTGGCCTTGAATGTCAGATTCAGATTCAGATTCATTTATTTGCCATTTGCAGTAAAACCACATTGGAAAAACTGTGCAAGAATACCCCGGTGTGCACACACACCAGAGCTCTTGCCACTTTTGTGCTTTGTTCTGTTGTATTCACTCATAACTCATAGCTCCTCCTTCCTCCTCCGTCGAGCAAAGACGTGTCTCAGACGCTCCTGCTTCTGAACGGCTTGCTATCTCCTGTTTTTGTCTTTTTTCCTGGAGTTTTGCTACAGACAACTTTAACAGAATGGAAATGATTAACTGGTCCCTCAACGCAATTGATTCTATCTTTTCAACACGTAAGCGTGAGTCTGGAGAGCCCGTGTGCCCGGACGGGACTTCACCAGCGGGGTATACTCTTGACAGCTGGAACAAGTTTCAGCCACAAATTCGGTGGCATGGCAGTTCGCAAGATTCACGACCTGCTGGCCGACAAAATTGATGGGATGTACAAGGAGCTTAGCCGAGTCGTGGTTGAGAGCGCTGTGGCTGGACAAAGGAGAGTGGTTTTGGTGGAACAGTTGATAAAAGATCTCGCAGCTCGTTCACTCGATGGACATAAAACTCTGGAATTGAGATTGAATGACATTGTTTGTCAGGCTTGAACTCTCTGACCCGGCTTGGATTTGCCCCTGTGTACAGGGTCTGAGGGCGCCGTAATTCGGTTTAATTGGAATTAATAGAATATCTGCCTGCTTTTGACTGCGACATTGCATTTAATATTGTCCCTCTCAGGCGATGTGTTTTTCTCCTGCTGTGTCTTCTCTCCACTCTTATCTCACATTCCTCGACCAAGGCCATAAACAAGGTCCCACAATCAAACAACTCACACTATTTCAGTCTCCAGCAAGGATCCCTCACCCCCGCCTCCCTCTACCTATCCATCCTGCTCCCTCCCTCCCCTCCATTCCTTATTGTTTTCCTACTCACCCCCTCCCTGATCCCGCCCCCCTCTGACAGCCACATTGGGCCGGCCGCCGGAGGTGCTCATCCCGAGAAAAAAATCCGTGGTTTATAAAAAGCACAATGTGTCTATCCAATTGTCTGTGAACTGTATGTTATTGCTCTCTGCTGTTTCTTGCTGCACACAGCGCCGCAAATGGCGAAGTGGCACGCTCTCTGCCAAGACAATTTCCAAGTGGTAACTTGTTACTCACGTGGCAATAAAAATGATTCTGATTCTGATTCTGAATGTAATTAGCGTAGTTACCATTGCAGCATTTCCATTCCAGTGATGAAAAATTAGGATTAGGGCCTTTTAATGATGACAGATTTGGGCCTTTTAATTATGACAGATTAGGGCCTTTAATGATGACAGATTAGAGCCTTTTAATGATGACAGATTTGGGCCTTTTAATTAGGACAGATTAGGGCCCTTTAATGATGACAGATTAGGGCCCTTTAATTATGACAGATTAGGGACCTTTAATAATGACAGATTAGGGCCTTTTAATGATGACAGATTAGGGCCTTTTAATGATGACAGATTAGGGCCCTTTAATTATGACAGATTAGGGACCTTTAATAATTACAGATTAGGGCCTTTTAATTATGACAGATTAGGGCCCTTTAATGATGACAGATTAGGGCCCTTTAATGACAGATTAGGGCCCTTTAATGATGACAGATTAGGGCCTTTAATGATGACAGATTAGAGCCTTTTAATGATGACAGATTTGGGCCTTTTAATTAGGACAGATTAGGGCCCTTTAATGATGACAGATTAGGGCCCTTTAATTATGACAGATTAGGGACCTTTAATAATGACAGATTAGGGCCTTTTAATGATGACAGATTAGGGCCTTTTAATGATGACAGATTAGGGCCCTTTAATTATGACAGATTAGGGACCTTTAATAATTACAGATTAGGGCCTTTTAATTATGACAGATTAGGGCCCTTTAATGATGACAGATTAGGGCCCTTTAATGACAGATTAGGGCCCTTTAATGATGACAGATTAGGGCCCTTTAATGATGACAGATTAGGGACCTTTAATGATGATAGATTAGGGACCTTTAATAATGACAGATTAGGGCCTTTTAATGATGACAGATTAGGGCCTTTTAATTATGACAGATTAGGGCCCTTTAATGATGACAGATTAGGGCCCTTTAATGATGACAGATTAGGCCCTTTAATAATGACAGATTAGGGCCTTTTAATGATGACAGATTAGGGCCTTTTAATGATGACAGATGAGGGCCCTTTAATGATGACAGATTAGGGACCTTTAATAATGACAGATTAGGGCCTTTTAATGATGACAGATTAGGGCCCTTTAATGATGACAGATTAGGGCCCTTTAATGATGACAGATTAGGCCCTTTAATAATGACAGATTAGGGCCTTTTAATGATGACAGATTAGGGCCTTTTAATGATGACAGATTAGGGCTCTAAAAGGAGCTAAAGTGTAGAGGAGGAGCTAAAGTGCTGCTCCAGCAGGGACGAGACGCAAGAAACACTTAGGAGACAATTCAATCTAAAGAGACCAAAGACAGAATTAATACATTAAAATGATTTATTTGTTTGGCGCATTGACCTTGGCAGTGACACATGCAGAGAGAAGGTCACTGCTGCTGCTGATGATCTCAGATCCCGGGGTCAAGCACGGGTGGTGGCTAGAAGCATGGTGTGAATGGGGCGTAGGCAGGAGCCAGAGCAGGAGCCAGAGCAGGAGCCAGAGCAGGAGCCAGAGGACGTGCTAGCGGTGGGTGTTAAGAGCTTCAGGAAGTGGCTGCTTTTAAACTGCCTGCTTTGCAGTCAGTGTGTTGGCAAGAGGCTGGCAGAGCTGTGTGATTGGTTGTCCTGGACGGGAGGAGTTGGACTCGCTCTTCCAGTCTAAATTTGCGCTTAAGCTTCATTTATGTAGTGTTCAAACAAACCTCCAGAGTCTGTAACAAACCTCCAAAGTCTGTAACAAACCTCCAGAGTCTGTAACAAACCTCCAAAGTCTGTAACAAACCTCCAAAGTCTGTAACAAACCTCCAGAGTCTGTGACAAACCTCCAAAGTCTGTGACAAACCTCCAAAGTCTGTAACAAACCTCCAAAGTCTGTAACAAACCTCCAGAGTCTGTGACAGACCTCCAGAGTCTGTGACAGACCTCCAGAGTCTGTAACAAACCTCCAGAGTCTGTAACAAACCTCCAAAGTCTGTAACAAACCTCCAAAGTCTGTAACAAACCTCCAGAGTCTGTGACAAACCTCCAGAGTCTGTGACAAACCTCCAAAGTCTGTGACAAACCTCCAAAGTCTGTAACAAACCTCCAAAGTCTGTAACAAACCTCCAGAGTCTGTGACAGACCTCCAGAGTCTGTGACAAACCTCCAGAGTCTGTAACAAACCTCCAGAGTCTGTAACAAACCTCCAGAGTCTGTAACAAACCTCCAAAGTCTGTGACAGACCTCCAGAGTCTGTGACAAACCTCCAGAGTCTGTAACAAACCTCCAGAGTCTGTAACAAACCTCCAGAGTCTGTGACAGACCTCCAGAGTCTGTGACAAACCTCCAGAGTCTGTAACAAACCTCCAGAGTCTGTAACAAACCTCCAGAGTCTGTAACAAACCTCCAAAGTCTGTGACAGACCTCCAGAGTCTGTAACAAACCTCCAAAGTCTGTAACAAACCTCCAAAGTCTGTAACAAACCTCCAGAGTCTGTAACAAACCTCCAAAGTCTGTAACAAACCTCCAGAGTCTGTGACAAACCTCCAGAGTCTGTAACAAACCTCCAGAGTCTGTGACAGACCTCCAGAGTCTGTGACAGACCTCCAGAGTCTGTGACAGACCTCCAGAGTCTGTAACAAACCTCCAGAGTCTGTAACAAACCTCCAAAGTCTGTGACAAACCTCCAGAGTCTGTAACAAACCTCCAGAGTCTGTGACAGACCTCCAGAGTCTGTAACAAACCTCCAGAGTCTGTGACAGACCTCCAGAGTCTGTAACAAACCTCCAGAGTCTGTAACAAACCTCCAAAGTCTGTGACAAACCTCCAGAGTCTGTAACAAACCTCCAGAGTCTGTGACAGACCTCCAGAGTCTGTGACAGACCTCCAGAGTCTGTGACAGACCTCCAGAGTCTGTGACAGACCTCCAGAGTCTGTGACAGACCTCCAGAGTCTGTGACAGACCTCCAGAGTCTGTAACTGAAGTTGACGATTCTCTTCAGTTGCTCTCATCAGTTTAAAGACACTGATGACTGTAGCGCTCTGACTCACCACATCTTAGAAACCCTTTTATGATCAGTTAATACATGTTTTTATCAATTGGCATTAATCATGTTTATTTATATTTTCTCTTTTTGTTGCCATCAGTTGTTTTTATTGTTTTAATGATAAAACATGTTTCACTCGTTGGTATCATTAAGTAAAAGCTGCAGTGTCTGATGGAAGTTCACATGGTTTAGTTATCTGAATATTGACACATTTAATTGACTTCATTCAACACAGAGAAAACTGGGTCATAGTGAAAAACAGACATCAATAAAATAATAAAAGCTACATCGCTGAAGGCAGAACATCCTCGTCTGCAGATGAGAACCTGACAGAGAACAGTCCAGATTCATATGTGGAACGTCACAACGATGTTTGTCCAGAGACTGTTGAGAATGTTCAAAATGATCAAAAATGTGTCCAAAAATATACAGGACCAGCACCTGCAGGAGGACCAGGACCAGCACCTGCAGGAGGACCAGGACCTGCAGGAGGACCAGCACCTGCAGGAGGACCAGGACCAGCACCTGCAGGAGGACCAGGACCTGCAGGAGGACCAGCACCTGCAGGAGGACCAGGACCAGCACCTGCAGGAGGACCAGGACCAGCACCTGCAGGAGGACCAGGACCAGCACCTGCAGGAGGACCAGGACCTGCAGGAGGACCAGCACCTGCAGGAGGACCAGGACCTGCAGGAGGACCAGCACCTGCAGGAGGACCAGGACCAGCACCTGCAGGAGGACCAGGACCAGCACCTGCAGGAGGACCAGGACCAGCACCTGCAGGAGGACCAGGACCTGCAGGAGGACCAGCACCTGCAGGAGGACCAGGACCAGGACCTGCAGGAGGACCAGGACCTGCAGGAGGACCAGGACCTGCAGGAGGACCAGGACCAGCACCTGCAGGAGGACCAGGACCTGCAGGAGGACCAGCACCTGCAGGAGGACCAGGACCAGGACCTGCAGGAGGACCAGGACCTGCAGGAGGACCAGCACCTGCAGGAGGACCAGGACCTGCAGGAGGACCAGGACCACCTCCTGAATTGACGAGTCTTGTTTCTAAACAAAAGCGTGAAAATGTGTTGAATGTGTTTGTAAAAAAAAGTTGTAATGACAGATTAAAATGTTTCTGCAGCAGAGACTTAAACAGGCTGCGTTTGTTCTGCAGGAGGCTCCACACTGACACACACACACAGACACACACACACACACACACAGACACACACACACACAGACACACACACAGACTCATCTGATATTAATGTGTCTGAAGGGGAGGCACTCTGCAGCACAGCAGGGGGCTCCCCGGCAAGTCACGAAAGCACTCAAAACATACACCCTGCTCACGCGAGCACCACACACATACAACACACAGACCTATATTTGCAAACACACACCACACACACAGACCTATATGCATACAACACACACGCACAAGCCTTCATACGCTTACATCAAACACATACATGAACCTATATCTGCACACACACACACACCTATATCTGCACACACACACATATGACAGACACACACACCTATATCTGCACACACACACATATGACAGACACACACACCTATATCTGCACACACACACATATGACAGACACACACACCTATATCTGCACACACACACACATGACAGACACACACACATATATCTGCACACACACACATATGACAGACACACACACACATATATCTGCACACACACACATATGACAGACACACACACCTATATCTGCACACACACACATATGACAGACACACACACCTATATCTGCACACACACACACATGACAGACACACACACACCTATATCTGCACACACACACATGTGACAGACACACACACACATGACAGACACACACACACATATATCTGCACACACACACATATGACAGACACACACACCTATATCTGCACACACACACATATGACAGACACACACACACCTATATCTGCACACACACACATATGACAGACACACACACCTATATCTGCACACACACACACATATGACAGACACACACACTTATATCTGCACACACACACATATGACAGACACAAACACACATATATCTGCACACACACACATATGACAGACACACACACTTATATCTGCACACACACACATATGACAGACACAAACACACATATATCTGCACACACACACATATGACAGACACACACACACATATATCTGCACACACACACATATGACAGACACACACACACATATATCTGCACACACACATATATCTGCACACACACACATGACAGACACACACACACATATATCTGCACACACACACATATGACAGACACACACACACATATATCTGCACACACACACCTATATCTGCACACACACACACATGACAGACACACACACATATATCTGCACACACACACATATGACAGACACACACACACATATATCTGCACACACACACATATGACAGACACACACACCTATATCTGCACACACACACATATGACAGACACACATATATCTGCACACACACACATATGACAGACACACACACCTATATCTGCACACACACACACATGACAGACACACACACCTATATCTGCACACACACATATGACAGACACACACATGACAGACACACACACACATATATCTGCACACACACACATATGACAGACATACACACCTATATCTGCACACACACACATATGACAGACACACACACACCTATATCTGCACACACACACATATGACAGACACACACACCTATATCTGCACACACACACACATATGACAGACACACACACTTATATCTGCACACACACACATATGACAGACACACACACACATATATCTGCACACACACACATATGACAGACACACACACACATTTATCTGCACACACACATATATCTGCACACACACACATGACAGACACACACACACATATATCTGCACACACACACATATGACAGACACACACACACATATATCTGCACACACACACATATGACAGACACACACACACATATATCTGCACACACACACATATGACAGACACACACACACCTATATCTGCACACACACACGCATACTGTATGACAGACACACACACACATATGACAGACACACACACACATATGACAGACACACACACACCTATATCTGCACACACACACATATGACAGACACACACACACATATGACAGACACACACCTATATCTGCACACACACACATATGACAGACACACACACACACCTATAATTGCACACACACACATATGACAGACACACACACACATATCTGCACACACACACACACATATGACAGACACACACACGCCTATATCTGCACACACACACATATGACAGACACACACACACATATATCTGCACACACACACATATGACAGACACACACACACCTATATCTGCACACACACACATATGACAGACACACACACACATATCTGCACACACACACACACATATGACAGACACACACACCTATATCTGCACACACACACATATGACAGACACACACACACACCTATAATTGCACATATGAAATGCTGCTTGCTTAGTGGGTCAGAAATGTAGATTTGAGCAAAGAAAATACAAAGGGAACAGCTTTTGATAAAAGATTAAAATATGAATTAGACATTTCTAGTCCTGGAAGTTGGTCACGGCACATGGTCTAGAACAGGCATGGCCAAACTCAGGCCCGCGGGCCAAATGCGGCCCTCTGTATCATGTTAACTGGCCCTCTGCCTCGCTTACACACGACATCATAGACAACAGGTCACAGTGTCATACAGCCAACTTCAGCTCTACCACGTATCTTGCTGTAAACAAGCTTAACAACAAGATAAAACATGTTATATCTTGTAACGAGTAAAAACATGATATAACATGTTTGTTATCTCTTGTTTTTGTTTTTAGCACAAAATCTAGTTGCTATCGTAGCCAACGTCAACCTTTTTAAAGTGAAATCAAAGTTCAAAAGAGTTCTTCAATCCAGGTTATTGGCCCCTGGACAAGTCTGGTGAACTAAAGTGGCCCTATTACATAAAAGTTTGGACACCCCTGGTTTAGAAATTAGATTTTGAAACTGAAAAACACAATCACTCCATTACCTTGAGTCGTCATCGTGTTAGCGTTTATAAAACTATTTATTTCTACGATTTTAGAAGCTCAAAAACTCAATTTGGTACAATCCTTTAATATCAGTGTTGCCGTATTTTCATACTGTACACATGCTGTGATTGGACTACAACTTACTGTAAACCAGGCCTGTCACTACGACAGTAACTTGGAAATACTATGGAACACTAAAGGAACACAAACTTAAGTTTGAAGCTTATTTCACAGGAAAGCAACTATTTATATTAGAATGGTCTAAATATGAACTAACATGTAATTGTAAGTTAGGCCCAAGATTTATTTACTTTCAAAAAACTGTGGCCCAGTTGTGGTTGAACCCAAATCTACTCTAAGATAATGTCCAAACTCACCAAAATAGGTTAAAAAAAAATGAATGAACAAATATCGTAAAAAGTACTTTTGGCCCAACCAGCTGTTACGTTTCTAACCCGACCAACATGAGCGTGACCCCCTGCTGTGAACTAATCTTCAAACCTTTGCAGATGGAAGCAAAAGAACGTTCTCTGATTCTCCACAAACGTCCTGCGTGAGGATGTCCAGCCCCTGATTTGGAGACAAAATGGAGGATGACAGACGTATCAGCAGAACTCGGTGTATTCAGGTCGTTCCAATCGCTGCTTGTCACTTTTGCTTTTTGTGCAGCGTCTCTCTGTGCTGTGACTTCATTAACGGCCTCCGATAAATCTCCTGCTAACGATTTTCACCACCGGCTCCGACACCAGCAACATGAGAACAAAAACCTACTTTGACTTTGAAAAAACGACCGATTACCGTGCCGTCATAACAGGTGTCATGACGCCCGTTATGACCTGTTATAAGGTTAATTTAACCAAAGTGTAACCGGGTTTTATGAAGTCGCCTTAATGTTAATGTGGATGTCTCTGTAGGTCATACTTCACGCAGAATCTTTTTTATATTATGCATCTCTTTTTTCGGTCTTTTACCATGAAGGAAATCCTCTTAAACTCTTCCATTATCTGCGAGGGGAAAAACACAAAAAGGAAACACACACACATATATATATAAAATCTTCATGTAAGTGAGGTCGACCCGGTGTGTGTGCTTCGGCGACAGCATTATTAACAAATGTTTTTTGATTTCTTCCATCCATATAAACCCAATTAGCGACGCTAGTTGGTACATATCCGATTTGTTTTGCCTTTTGTACAGCTAAAGAGGGGCATAAACACCGGTTTTCTTGAAGGTGTCATTTCCTGAAGCCAGCACAAGCTCTGTATCAAAGACATTTGTGATCTGAGTCTTCGGCGGTGATAGAATCTCTGGATCGACTGAAGACGTGTGGAGACCATGGAGACCAGCACCGGGCGGATGAATTTAACCAGTACTTCAACCGGTTTGATTCTGCCCCCTCTCCATCTGCCCCCCCTCCCGCCCCCACCTCTTCACACGTTCCCAGCCCAGTGGACACCGCCCAGTGGACACTGCCTCCGGCTGCCCCGGGCCCTCCTGCCCCCGCATCCCCAGCCCCCACCTCGGACAGTACACCCCAGTCCCCCCCCCCCCCCCCTCCATCACACCGGACCAGGTGAGGAGTCAGCTCCAGCGCCTGAAGCTGAGGAAATCCGCAGGACCGGACGGGATCAGTCCCAGGCTGCTGAGGACCTGTGCAGACCAGCTCTCTGGGGTCCTCAGCTACATGTACAACCTGAGCCTCAGCCTGGAGAAGGTCCCTGTCCTGTGGAAGACCTCCTGTGTGATCCCGGTCCCAAAAACAGCACACGCCAAGGAACCGGCTCACTACAGACCAGTCGCACTGACCTCCCACCTGATGAAGACCATGGAGCACTGACCTCCTGATGAAGACCATGGAGCACTGACCTCCTGATGAAGACCATGGAGCACTGACCTCCCACCTGATGAAGACCATGGAGCACTGACCTCCCACCTGATGAAGACCATGGAGCACTGACCTCCCACCTGATGAAGACCATGGAGCGGCTCATCCTCACCATCTCCGCTCCGTGGTCAGCCCCACCCTGGACCCGCTGCAGTTCGCCTACAGACCCAACATCGGAGTAGAGGACGCTGTCATCTACTTCCTGCAGCGGACGCTCTCCCACCTGGAGCCCGCCGGGAGCGCTGTGAGGGTCATGTTTTTCGACTTCTCCAGCGCTTTCAATACCATCAGACCGGCACTGCTGCGGGGGAAGATGGAGGACGCAGGAGTGAACAGTAGCCTCACTGCATGGACCATGGACTACCTCTCAGACCGACCACAGTACGTGCGGCTGCGCAGCTGTGAGTCTGAGGTGGTCGTCTGCAGCACTGGGGCCCCTCAGGGCACTGTCCTCTCACCGTTTCTCTTCACCATCTACACCTCAGACTTCACACAAGACACACACAGCTGTCACCTGCAGAAGTTCTCCGACGACTCCGCCATCGTGGGCTGTGTGTCTGAGGGGAACGAACTGGAATATCGGTCGGTTATCAAGGACTTTGTCGACTGGTGTGAGCGCAACCACTTGTGCTTGAACACCAGTAAGACCAAGGAGATGATCATCGACTTCAGGAGAAAACCACTTTCCCACACGCTGCTGAACATCCAGGGGGAGGACATTGAGCTGGTGGACAGCTTCAAGTACCTGGGTGTTCACATTAACAATAAACTGGACTGGTCCATAATACAAACGCCCTGCACAAGAAGGGCCAAAGTCGCCTCTTCCTTCTGAGGAGGCTGAGGTCCTTCTGAGGAGGCTGAGGTCCTTCGGAGGAGGCTGAGGTCCTTCGGAGGAGGCTGAGGTCCTTCGGAGTGAGCAGGCCTCTGCTCAGGACTTTTTATGACTCTGTGGTAGCTTCTGCCATTTACTACGCTGCCGTGTGCTGGGCCCCGGGCAGCACAGAGCGGGACAGAAACAGACTGAACAAGCTGGTCAGGAGGGCCAGCTCCACTCTGGGCTGCTCCCTGGACTCTGTGGAGGAGGTGAGGGACAGGAGGCCCCTGGACTCTGTGGAGGAGGTGAGGGACAGGAGGCCCCTGGACTCTGTGGAGGAGGTGAGGGACAGGAGACCCCTGGACTCTGTGGAGGAGGTGAGGGACAGGAGGCCCCTGGACTCTGTGGAGGAGGTGAGGGACAGGAGGACCCTGGACTCTGTGGAGGAGCTGAGGGACAGGAGGCCCCTGGACTCTGTGGAGGAGCTGAGGGACAGGAGGCCCCTGGACTCTGTGGAGGAGGTGAGGGACAGGAGGCCCCTGGACTCTGTGGAGGAGGTGAGGGACAGGAGGCCCCTGGACTCTGTGGAGGAGGTGAGGGACAGGAGGGTGCTAGCCAAAGCCACCTCCATCATGAACAATACCTCCCACCCACTGCACAGGACTGTAGAGGAGCTGAGGAGCTCCTTCAGTGGAAGACTGAGACACCCTCAGTGTAGGAAGGAGCGCTACCGCAGGGCCTTTATCCCCACCGCTGTCAGACTGTACAATAAGTCACTTTAAATGATCACTGTGTGAAAACCTGCACTACTATTGACACTGTTTCCAATTGACACTTGTCACTTTTGTTGTACATAATTATTGTCACTTTATTGTACATATATCCTGCATGTAACATGTTTGCACATTTCCTCCTTTTGCACAATCTGAGTGTTCTATCCATGCCAAATGTGACATGTACATTTCTCCTCTGAGAGATAAATAAAGCACTTCTCATCTCATCTCATCTTTAAGAGTCTCAGACTCATGGATGGTGGAGCTGGAAACATCAGTGACATTTAGAGTAATTACCAAAGGATAATCTTTGTGAACCACTTTAAGGGTGTTGTTAGTATTCCTGACAGTGTCCTCATCCTTCAGGTCAGAAGTCCAAAATCAAGATCTTTAAAACGTGAACAAAATCTCTGGGGATCCCAAATGTCTCCTTCACAATAAAGTCCAGTTCAGGCCCAGTCTCAGGAAATCCTTTGGGTAAATCCAGTCTGCGAGAGTCATGAGCCACAGATATAACCCGCTGACACACACTGTGTCTGAAAAAAACACACACTGTGTCTGAAAAAAACACATCATTTAGATTAGAAACAGAAATGCACCTTTGTCATCAAGCTCTAAGCTATAGAAGAAGCACATCTTGAATTAATCCCTGCCACAATCCCAGTGTCACCTGGTATTGTTCAAATATGTGTAACCAGGTGGAGAAATATTCTTTAAGTTTCTTTAAAGTGGTTCTCACCCCCGCTCCTCGGAGCTTACGTCACTCACATTTCCTGTTCAAATCTTCCTCTAAATGGGCGTGGCCTGGAGGACTAAAGGGGGCGTGAACGAGACTGGGCCGTTTACATTGCTCTGGGCGGGGGGCTGCTGACGTCAGGTCTTACTTCAGACGTCAGGTCTTGCTGCTGTGCCAGTGTTGGCGCCAGATTCAAAATTCAAATGAAGTAATACAGGTCGCCAGCAGATGGCGCCTCACAGATGGTTTTAGGCAGAAAGTTTAACTTTCAACTAATTTGCACCAAAGTGACAAGATTATGACCAGGATATGTAGACAACACTATTGGACACTCATTTATACTGTTTATCAGCAAAAAAAAGTGGATTTGAGGGTGAGTTGTCCTTTAAGAAAAGCTTGTGTTTTATTTTTCTTAGTGGTTGTTTGATATGTTTGTTTGTATCACAAGAGGTTGCCAGTGCTATGGGTCTTTAGGATTTAAATGATAACATACGGGACTGTTACCATAGTAACGCATAGCTCACACTGTTTTATTTTAACTGAAAGCTGTTGGAGCACACTTTCTGTTGAGACGTCCTTCTCCATTTTGTGTTCGAGGTGCCACTGCCGTTTAATGCTAGGTTAACTGACACAGATTCGGTGGTTTCTTCTCAAGAGAAATAAAGAACCCCTTTTAATTTTGGAGCTTTGTCACATGTCACATGAACATGTGACATGTTCATCTGATGACAGATAACGTGTGGATGCGCGTTCACGTGTGCCGGTTGTTTTGGTTTGGTGGAGAGGCGAGGGGGGAGTGGTTTCAGTTGGTGCTACGGCTAAGCTAACAAAATCGCTTACTGCATCTTTAAAGAAGGTTTGTCTGAGTCTGCACCAGTCGCTGCTGCAGCTGCACTGTCCACATACAAACACAAAACACACATTTTTGATTTCATTTAGAAAGAGATCGTTGTTTGTCCACAAACTTTCAAATTGATTAGAACTGGATACAAGGGTCTAAACACACAACACACTGATCCACCTTCGTGCCTTTGTTCTGTTTTTACACATTCATTTAATTCATTAGGTTTAAATTCAGTACCAACTAGACATATTTTTCCGATATTGACGCTTCCCGTTAGCCTGGCTCCAGCCGACCTTTAGCCCCGCCTCCATGGAGTTTCTGCGGGCAGGTCGGTCTGGCATTCCTCAATGGAAAAAGTATTATGGGGGGCGTGTTCGAACTGAAACAGGAAACACAATCCCCCTTCGTTCTATTGGATAGTCCAACAACCAATGAGAGCGAGGTGTGACGTATTTATGCGACGTTATTATTGTTTACCTTCTCGCATGCTGCCTGTAAAATGAGTGCAAACGACTTGTGCCGGTGTTGCAAAAAGAACTTGAAGATACGCGGAATATTTAGCAACACGTTACTAATTTTTGAGAGAAATAAAAAAGGTAAATCCATATACGAACAAGTCCTCCATTTAGGATTACAACTTCACAAGACATCAGAGAAATCTACGCGCATTTGTCGGTCCTGTCACAACCTGATTACAAGACTGGAACGCAACATTCCCGTGTTCAAATCATGGACAAACGAAGAAGGAGAACCGGCTGAAGAAGCATGCTCATCAGAGTCACCATCAGAGAAGAGAGACCGGGAGCTGAGCCCTTCTAAGTCGCCCAGAGCCCTGAAGAAGTTCTGTTCCAATCATTTAACTGCAGCCGGTGCAAAACCGCGAAGAAGCATCACAAAGGTAAGCGCATGTTAAAGAAAAAATTCTACCTATTATTTTATACCCACAATCTCGATTGCCAAGTGTTTCATATATGAAGTCGTGTTTATTTACAATGTGATTAACACATAACCATCACATGAAGCCCGCCCTGTCACTCTGACTGGCCCGGTATGTATCGTACCTGGCATAATGGTTTTTCCATTGAGGAATGCCAGACCGACCTGCCCGCAGAAACTCCATGGAGGCGGGGCTAAAGGTCGGCTGGAGCCAGGCTAGCTTCCCGTTCCCTGTTTGGGGAAAACTAACAAATGTAGAGCTTTCTTTCTCCCGGCAGAAGAAGACACTTGGAAAAGAGCCAGAGCCTTCAGCTTTATTGGACTTGAAGTTTGTTTGTTCTGCGGTAAATGCCGGAGTCAAAGAGGGTCAGCACCAGTGACTCCGGAGCGTTCCCAGAGCAGCACTTTTGGAGAATGAAGGTTTCTTAGAGTCTGATGTTAAGCCTTGATGCAGTTGTTCAGGTCTCTGCTGTGGGGGGCTGTAAAATATAGAAATATCTGAATTATTTTTACATTTATTATTTTTTTCCATTCATTAACAAATAACTCCAAATAGTATATTCACCTCCTTTCATTGCTTTTCCCCTAAGCAGAGTTTATTTTTTTTATCCTGGCTTCAAATTTGTGGGCACCCCTGGGTGCACGTTTGAATATTCTTTGCAATGACAGTCACTGGCAATTAAGTTTGCAAAATTCAATGTGATCAACATTTCAAAATGACATACTTGTCTTTAAAAGACAAGACACTTTACTCGACCCGAGCGGAGTCCGAGAAACCCTAAACCCAGTTTGAAAACGTGATTGATACAACAAAAAGGAGCTTTAGAAAGCCATGGTGGACAATGTGGTTCTGGCAGAAGAATCAAACCAGGCTTTGTTGGCTGAGGTCCAGAGGCTGAAGGAGGAGAGGAGTGACCTGGTCAAGGCTCAAGAAGAAGAAACGCAAAGACTGAAGGAGCAGGTGACAAAACTGCAGACAGAGAAGTCTGCTTCTCCACCGCTTTAATCCAGCACCAACTCGACACCACCCTCCAGGAGAAAACCAGCCTCCAACTCTCTCTGCAAGAAACCACCGCAGAGCTGCAGACGGCAAAGGACAAGGTGCAGGACCTGAAAGAAGCTTGTGCCGAATGTGTGGAAATGAACAAGGAGGTCACCAACTTCTCCACGATTCTGAAGGAGAACCGGGCCTTGTCCACAGAACTGGAGTCCGTACAACAGACTGTGAGCGCTCTGAAGAGAGGCGACAGAAGGACTCCATCATAAGAGGTTTGGACACAGATCTCTCAAAAGTTCAAGAAGAAAACAGGAACACATTAGAAGTAATGAACTCTCGTCTTCCAGATGCTGTCGTTTCTATTGAGGAGCTGAAGACCAGGATGCAGGACCAGGAGGAGCATCTGAGGAAAGGTAATTATGAGCTGGAGGAGAAACTGCTCAGGTCTCAGAAAGAGGTGGAGGAGTTTAGAGAGAACTTTGTCCTGAAAAACTCTGTTGTCGCAGAAATGGAGGAGGAAATGATTAAATGCAAAGAGGCAGAGGCACTGGCTCAAAGGTCACTGAGGAACGCCATCGACGAGAACTAACGCCTTAAGTATGAACTGAAGAATCAGCAGTTTTAACGCCTCTGTTGTATATGACTGCACCGAAATGGATGAGCTCATGTGCTCTTTTAATAATCACTGTACATCCATCCTGGACCAAGTAGCTCCTTTTAAAACTATTAATACGGAGCATCAACAGACTTGTCCCTGGATTAATGACACTGTTGTGAATCTCCGGAGATCCTGCCGTAAAATTGAACGCTTGTGGGACTCCACCAAACTTGAGGTTCACAGACTGCATCTGAGGGACCTTGTCGCCTCTCTAAACAATCAATTAGAGGAGGCCAGATCAAAATATTTTCAGCAGTTGATTGTCTCCAATAAGAGAAACCCCAAGGTGCTCTTTGACACCATAAACTCTATTGTCTCTCCTGCTGCTGCTGCTGTCGCAGTGCAGTGCAGAGCAGGTTGCACAGAGTTTCTGAGTTTCTTTATTGACAAGGTTAGAGCGATCAAAGACAATCTTCCTCCCTCTCCTTCCTTCAGTCATGCTCAGGTTGACCCTCCTCTTCAGAGCTGGTCGTCCTTCGAGTCAGTCACGAAAGAGGATATTTTATGCACTATAACCAGTATGAAAGTGTCGTGTTGTCGCCTGGATGTTGTCCCAGCTCGGCTGTTTGTTAATGTTTTAGAGTCTATCGGTCCGTCGATCACTAAAATGTTTAACATGTCGCTCTCAACTGGTGTGTTCCCGTGCTCTCTTAAACATGCTGTTGTGGAGCCCCAATTAAAGAAACCCAGCCTGGACCCTACAGATCTTCAGAACTTTAGGCCCATATCAAAGATCCCGTTCTTGGCCAAAGTCCTGGAGAAGCTGGCCTACAAACAATTATCAGCGTTCTTGGAGGCTAATAATATTTTTTGACTCCTTTCAGTCTGGTTTCAGGAGGTTCCACTCCACTGAAACAACTTTACTGAAGGTGTCTAGTGACGTCATGATGGCTGCTGACTCCGGTAAATGTTCTGTCCTGGTCCTGTTAGACCTGTCGTCTGCCTTCGACACGGTGGACCATGGTATCTTGATCTCTAGACTCCGGGATGTGGTTGGTATGTCAGGCTCTGTGTTAGAGTGGTTTAGATCATACCTTACAGGTAGAACCTTTTGTGTGTCTTCAAACAATGTGGTGTCTGAATCCGCAGACCTACAGTGGGGTGTACCCCAAGGCTCCGTTCTTGGGCCTATTTTATTTATGTTGTACCTGCTCCCGCTAGGCTGATCCAGCAGTTCAGTGAGGTCTCCTACCACCTGTATGCTGACGATCTCCAGCTGTACTGCTCTTTTAAGCCCTCTGAGCCCCAGAGACTGGTTGCTCTCACTAACTGTCTGGACAAAATAAAGATATGGCTTAGTGAAAATAGCCTCCAGCTGAACTCCAGTAAAACAGAAACCTTAGTGTTAGCCCCGGACAATATTGTTTCTGTTATTGCTCAGCACCTTGGTGACCTAAGTAGCTCAGTAAAAAAGAGTGTGAGGAACCTGGGAGTCACTTTTGATGGAGGGATGTCCCTAGAACGACACACCAAACAGCTGACCCGAAACTGCAATTTCCACTTGCGCAACATCTCTAAGCTCAGACAAATGGTCTCGGGTCCGGAGCTGGAGATGATTGTCCACGCTTTTGTTTCCTCGCGATTGGACTACTGTAACAGCCTGCTTACATGTCTTAGTAAAAAAGACCTGGCTCGTTTACAGGTCGTCCAAAATTCTGCTGCAAGGCTTTTGACCCGCACCCACAGGAGAGCCCACATTACCCCTGTCTTAAAGGCCTTACACTGGCTCCCTGTCTCACACAGAATACATTTTAAAATTCTGGTGTTGACTTTTAGGGCCCTTCATGGTCAGGCGCCTGAATACATCCAGGGCCTGATCCACCCTTATGTCTCCAACAGGAGTCTGAGGTCCTCTACTCAGAACCTGTTGATGGTCCCCCGGACTCGTTTCAAAACCAGAGGAGACAGATCCTTCCAGGCAGTTGCTCCTCGCCTTTGGAATGAGCTTCCTCAGTCTCTGCGTATCGTAGAGACTGTTGATGATTTTAAGTCCCAACTAAAGACACATTTGTTTGGACAGGCTTTCTCGCACCATTGTTCATAGGCCTCTGTGAATGTAAATTGTGTTTTCTGTGTTTGTTTTATCTGACTTGTGTGTGTATTTTGTATTTTAATGTGTGAAGCGCTTTGTGACCCTGGTCTGTGAAAGGCGCTATACAAATAAACTTTACTTACTTACTTACTTAGCAGAAGACTCCCTCCAAGCAGCAGAACCAGGACCATCAGGAGGACCACGCTCCACTCAACCCTCAGAAGAAGTGGAAACACAGGCCACAACAGACGTCTACAGACCTAACCAAGCTGCACTGGTTACGACCCCCAAGAACTAAGACTGAGTTCTGAGTGAACCCTCCCCCTCCCTCCCTCTCTCCCCCTCCCTCTCTCCCCCTCCCTCCCTCTCTCCCCCTCCCTCTCTCCCCCTCCCTCTCTCCCCCGCCCTCCCTCTCTCCCCCGCCCTCCCTCTCTCCCCCTCCCTCTCTCCCCCTCCCTCTCTCCCCCGCCCTCCCTCTCTCCCCCTCCCTCTCTCCCCCGCCCTCCCTCTCTCCCCCTCCCTCCCTCTCTCCCCCGCCCTCCCTCTCTCCCCCGCCCTCCCTCTCTCCCCCGCCCTCTCTCCCCCGCCCTCCCTCTCTCCCCCTCCCTCCCTCTCTCCCCCCTCCCTCTCTCCCCCGCCCTCTCTCCCCCGCCCTCCCTCTCTCCCCCTCCCTCCCTCTCTCCCCCTCCCTCCCTCTCTCCCCCGCCCTCTCTCCCCCTCCCTCCCTCTCTCCCCCTCCCTCTCTCCCCCGCCCTCCCTCTCTCCCCCTCCCTCCCTCTCTCCCCCTCCCTCTCTCCCCCGCCCTCTCTCCCCCTCCCTCCCTCTCTCCCCCTCCCTCTCTCCCCCGCCCTCTCTCCCCCTCCCTCCCTCTCTCCCCCGCCCTCCCTCTCTCTAAACCCACATCTTCCCTCGACCCTTTTCACAACAAACGGCACATTGGATCCTGACGCACATCGCTCACAGAGTCACAGTAACTGGAGTTCAACCTCCACGTGCTCTGAGTATTGTGTGTGTTCGCTCATGAGGCTAACGGCTAACAGCTGCCTCTGATGCTAAAGGGTAATGACAGTGATGGGAGACCGCTGTAAGACCAGTGGGACGACTGCGACTGTAAAGTGCCAAACTTTCGTTGTGTCCTTTGGCAAGACGCTTCACCCATGTGTATGAATGGGTGTGTGTGTGTAGGTGGTGGTCAGAGGGGCAGACTCAGGTTGGGAGCTTCCATTGTCTGTCCCAGGGCATCTATGGCTACCGTAGTACTGACCGTACCACTGTGAATGGTATGAATGAATTTCTGCATTATTATGTTAATAATAATACTTGTGGACATTGCAGCGTTAATGCAATACGTCTAATCGGTTTCTCACTGACTAATCTCTGGCGCCATCTAGAGGATCTGCTGGACACAAAACGTAGACTCAATGACTGAACGTTTAAACTGATAGATCTAAGGTTTAAACTGATAGATCTAAGGTTTAAACACAGAAGACTCCAGAGCTGACGACCTGTGCTTATGAAGGAACCAGAGTGTGCAGTGTGCAAAAGTGAAAAGGGTCCATTGCCCCCCCCCCCCCTGTGATTCCCCAGTAAAGGAGCTTTGAGCTAAATGCTCTGACGCCGACAGTGCTTTTAGAAACTTTAGTGCCATTTATGGCTTTGTATGTTAACAGAAGGATTTTGATTTTGATTCTGTAGTACACAGAAGCCAGTGGAGTGATTTTAACACCGGAGTAATGTGCTGCCTCCTTTTGATGCTTGTTAAGATCTTTGCTGTTGTATTTTGAGCTTGGTAAAAGCTCTTCTAAAGTTTCTCGGGTTTATACAAAAGGAAACAATATATAGTTTATTTGCTTAAACCAGTCTGTTACATGTCTCTCAACAACAAAGAGAATACATCAGGAACACACATAATTCAGCCAACTTCAGCCCCGACAATACACGGCTCAGTATGTGTGTGTGTGTCTCTGTATGAAATAAGCCTCACGCATTTGAAGAAAAAGCCACAACCAAAGATAAACAGCTGCTGAAACAAAAAACAATATTCTTTGACAGAGAGCGAGAAAAGGCTTATGTTAGTGATTTCTGAAAACAACTTTATTTCTGACCTCTCCCTAATCCTCCCCGAAAGTCTTTCAATTAGTGGAAGGCTGACAATCCCCCCATTACGGAGAGAACACTCCCAGACGCACTGGTAAGAGCGCCAGATAATTGGCCAATAAAAATGTAAATGGGCCGCCTGAGCGAACCAGCGTGTGATATGGGGGAGATGGGAGGGGAGCCCTAATCCACAGTGACAGGTCGCGTTTGTTTTGTTGGATGCTAATTGGAAGCTCATTTTTATATAATGGCAGACAATTTAGTGTGTGTGTTTTTGGTGAAAATATGAATGGCCTTTTACACGGGTTCATAGATATGCTGTAAAGCCCAAGCCCTGATGGCCTGATTGTGTTGCTGCGTGGCCAAAAACACAAAAAAGCTTAATATATTGTTAGAGAATTTGTTTAAAAATTACAGATATTATTTTTAGCTAATAAATGACAACACTGCGCATGGTTTCTGGAGTAAGGACGCATTTGTTGGTCTTCACAACCGTCATAAATGTCGCTGTGAAAACTACAGGATTAATAAAATATATAATCAAACATAATTACCAAGTGGTCGCCTGTCACTTCAGAGGAACGTTCTTTTAGCTGTGCTCATCACGAAATACAATTAATACAACGTACACAATACAATAATAACAGAATGTAAAAGTAAATTCCTCACACGGTAGTAGCTTAATACCTGTAGCTTTCTAACTGTAGCTTTCTAACTGTGGCTTGCTAACCGTGGCTTGCTAACCGTGGCTTACTAACCGTGGCTTGCTAACTGTGGCTTGCTAACCGTGGCTTGCTAACTGTGGCTTACTAACCGCGGCTTGCTAACCGTGGCTTACTAACCGTGGCTTGCTAACTGTGGCTTGCTAACCGCGGCTTGCTAACTGTGGCTTACTAACTGTGGCTTACTAACTGCGGCTTACTAACTGTGGCTTTCTAACCGTGGCTTACTAACCGCGGCTTGCTAACCGTGGCTTGCTAACTGTAGCTTACTAACTGTGGCTTACTAACTGTGGCTTACTAACTGTGGCTTTCTAACCGTGGCTTACTAACCGCGGCTTGCTAACCGTGGCTTACTAACTGTGGCTTACTAACTGTGGCTTACTAACTGTGGCTTACTAACTGTGGCTTGCTAACCGTGGCTTACTAACTGTGGCTTGCTAACTGCGGCTTACTAACCGTGGCTTACTAACCGTGGCTTACTAACCGTGGCTTGCTAACTGTGGCTTACTAACCGCGGCTTGCTAACCGTGGCTTACTAACCGTGGCTTGCTAACTGTGGCTTGCTAACCGCGGCTTGCTAACTGTGGCTTACTAACTGTGGCTTACTAACTGTGGCTTACTAACTGTGGCTTACTAACTGTGGCTTACTAACTGTGGCTTGCTAACTGTGGCTTACTAACCGTGGCTTACTAACTGTGGCTTACTAACTGTGGCTTACTAACTGTGGCTTACTAACCGTGGCTTGCTAACCGTGGCTTGCTAACTGTGGCTTACTAACTGTGGCTTGCTAACCGTGGCTTGCTAACTGTGGCTTGCTAACCGCGGCTTGCTAACTGTGGCTTACTAACTGTGGCTTACTAACTGTGGCTTACTAACTGTGGCTTACTAACTGCGGCTTACTAACTGTGGCTTGCTAACTGTGGCTTGCTAACTGTGGCTTACTAACTGCGGCTTACTAACTGTAGCTTGCTAACTGTGGCTTACTAACTGTGGCTTACTAACTGTGGCTTGCTAACTGTAGCTTGCTAACTGTGGCTTACTAACTGCGGCTTACTAACTGTGGCTTGCTAACTGTGGCTTGCTAACTGTGGCTTACTAACTGCGGCTTACTAACTGTAGCTTGCTAACTGTGGCTTACTAACTGTGGCTTACTAACTGTGGCTTACTAACTGTGGCTTGCTAACTGTGGCTTACTAACTGTGGCTTGCTAACTGTGGCTTTCTAACCGTGGCTTACTAACTGTGGCTTGCTAACTGTGGCTTGCTAACCGCGGCTTGCTAACTGTGGCTTACTAACTGTGGCTTGCTAACTGTGGCTTGCTAACTGTAGCTTGCTAACTGTGGCTTACTAACTGTGGCTTGCTAACTGTGGCTTTCTAACCGTGGCTTGCTAACTGCGGCTTGCTAACCGTGGCTTACTAACCGTGGCTTACTAACCGTGGCTTACTAACTGTGGCTTGCTAACTGCGGCTTACTAACCGTGGCTTACTAACCGTGGCTTACTAACTGTGGCTTGCTAACTGTGGCTTGCTAACTGTGGCTTGCTAACTGTGGCTTGCTAACTGTGGCTTGCTAACCGTGGCTTGCTAACTGTGGCTTGCTAACCGTGGCTTGCTAACCGCGGCTTGCTAACTGTGGCTTACTAACTGTGGCTTACTAACTGTGGCTTACTAACTGTGGCTTACTAACTGTGGCTTACTAACTGCGGCTTACTAACTGTGGCTTGCTAACTGTGGCTTGCTAACCGCGGCTTGCTAACCGTGGCTTGCTAACCGCGGCTTACTAACCGTGGCTTACTAACTGTGGCTTACTAACCGTGGCTTACTAACCGCGGCTTGCTAACCGTGGCTTGCTAACCGTGGCTTGCTAACCGTGGCTTGCTAACCGTGGCTTGCTAACTGTGGCTTGCTAACTGTGGCTTGCTAACTGTGGCTTGCTAACTGTGGCTTGCTAACTGTGGCTTGCTAACTGTGGCTTGCTAACTGTGGCTTACTAACTGCGGCTTGCTAACTGTGGCTTGCTAACCGTGGCTTGCTAACCGTGGCTTGCTAACTGTGGCTTGCTAACTGTGGCTTGCTAACTGTGGCTTGCTAACCGTGGCTTGCTAACCGTGGCTTGCTAACCGTGGCTTGCTAACTGTGGCTTGCTAACTGTGGCTTACTAACTGTGGCTTACTAACCGCGGCTTGCTAACCGCGGCTTGCTAACCGCGGCTTACTAACCGCGGCTTACTAACCGCGGCTTACTAACCGCGGCTTACTAACCGCGGCTTACTAACTGCGGCTTACTAACTGCGGCTTACTAACTGCGGCTTACTAACTGCGGCTTACTAACTGCGGCTTACTAACTGTGGCTTACTAACCGCGGCTTGCTAACTGTGGCTTACTGACTGCGGCTTGTTAACTGTGGCTTACTGACTGCAGCTTGCTAACTGTGGCTTGCTAATTATGGCTTACTAACTGTGGCTTGCTAATTATGGTTTACTAACTGTAGCTTACTAACTGTGGCTTGCTAACTGTGGCTTGCTAACTGTGGCTTGCTAATTGTGGCTTGCTAACTGCAGCTTGCTAACTGTGGCTTGCTAATTATGGCTTACTAACTGTGGCTTGCTAACTGTAGCTTACTAACTGTGGCTTGCTAACTGTGGCTTGCTAACTGTGGCTTGCTAACTGTGGCTTACTAATTATGGCTTACTAACTGTGGCTTGCTAACTGTAGCTTACTAACTGTGGCTTGCTAATTGTGGCTTGCTAACTGCAGCTTGCTAACTGTGGCTTGCTAATTATGGCTTACTAACTGTGGCTTGCTAACTGTAGCTTACTAACTGTGGCTTGCTAACTGTGGCTTGCTAACTGTGGCTTACTAACTGTAGCTTGCTAATTGTGGCTTGCTAACTGCAGCTTGCTAACTGTGGCTTGCTAATTATGGCTTACTAACTGTGGCTTGCTAACTGTAGCTTACTAACTGTGGCTTGCTAACTGTGGCTTGCTAACTGTGGCTTACTAACTGTGGCTTACTAATTATGGCTTACTAACTGTGGCTTGCTAACTGTAGCTTACTAACTGTGGCTTACTAATTA